ATTTTGCTTTGTGCTTTTCACTTCAAACCAACTTGCTTTTAATATGATTTTTAAGTGGCTATCAGCATCTCCATTCAAAAGACAGCATTTATGAATGGGAATTGAATTCTTTAAGAGAAAAACATAAGTCATCCATGAAAAAGTATTACATCTCAGGTGGGCTTGGCACTTGTGGTTTTACCCTTGAAATGATCCACAGTCATTCATATCTATATAAAGGATGGAGAAAATTCGCAATAAGACCATAGAACATCGCATCTTAGGATCACAGTGAATGGCTGAGTCATGTGACTCAGCCCTAGGTAATCCTAGGGACATCAGTTAATTTTTCCAATCCTAACTGGTGAGGTATGGAAGTTACACTGCATTGTAGCGGGTACACAGCTGTTGAACAGCTGCAACTACCGTTGCCATACAAAAGTTAAGCCCTAAACGCTACTCACAAGAGATTCACGGGCTATTAGAGGCTGGGCAGGCTCTTAAAGGTCATTTAACACACCATCTTCTAGTTACAACTCATGAGGACCATTCTAGTCAAATCATGTAGCGCAGCCACAACCAGGGCAGCAGACACGTTTCTAGTCAGTCATGACATACTTAGATCTCAGGGAAGAGGACAAATATCAGAAAGAATGGCTCAGTGTCAACCCAGAGATGACTGGTTCTGTGTGAGCCGAAGCCCTGGAGAGGCCAGTGAGGACTCCCAAAATTGGTGTGCTGAGGAGGGCCAGAAGATGCAGCCAATGGTTGGTATCACTTGGTCACATTAGAGAAAGCCACTGCACAGATGGCTGATGGCATTAGATTTCTCAGCAGTTCTAACTTTCCCTGCCACCTGTCATGCCACAGCCCTTCAGCTGAAGGGAACAGACCCAGTGTACAGAATGTGCTGATGTCGCCTTGGTTGCAGCTCCGTTATAATCAACAATGGGATTGTCAAATAGCAATCCACAGGACAAATGCAACCCACCACTTCAATTTTAAACAAGGATCAGGAAACAGGCACATTCAGACACTTATGGCCCTGTGACTGCTTTAGGGAATAATGGCAGGGATGACAGTTGAAGCCGGCCAAACAATTCAAAGCCTAATATATTTACTGGCTATCTGGTCCATTCTAGAAAATGTTTTGTCCACATCTAATAGAGAACTTTACAAGTGGCTTAAAGAATTCTCTGTAGTCTTTGGAAAAGTCAACTGGCTTCTTCAAAATGTTTTGATGCCATTAGCTGAGACTTAATGCAATGGGGGGATAGTTCAAGGGTCATCTTCAGCAAACATGAAAGGCATGTTTGACACGAAAGATAACCTACCTTCAGTAAGGATGAGCAGAAGTTTAAGCTCCCTGTTACTCTGGCACATGGGGGAAATGGAGTTCCTTACAATGCATAGACAGAAGACGCATCTTTAAATGGGTGTGTGTACGAGAAGTCGTGGATTTGCCATAAACTATCTAGCTTATTCATTATAACAGTCCTGTTATGTAGTAGCATTTGTTCCTATTTTCGTGGCAAAGTAATCTAAGGACACATAAAGTTATAGAGGTTTGTAACTACTTGACTCCATATTTTCTGGCATACTCTTAAAATCGCCTGCCTATGAGCAGCAGTTTGAAGTGGCTCAGGTCAGTCAGCCCAGATGAAATAGAGATCCCAATCTAAGTTGTTAGAAATTTACATTAGAAATCACTGTTCTGCAACATTGCTCAGTGAAAAGTTGAAAATGCTCAGAGAACACTATCTTCATGAGAAGAATTAGATGATGTTAAGAAGTAATAAACTCTGAAAAAGTTTCCCAAACAGTTATGGAAACTCCTTTTATTGTTTGGTTGGTTGGTTTGGTTTGTTTTTTTTGAGAAAGGCTTTCTCTGTGTAGCCCTGGCTGCCCTGAATTTCACTCTGTAGACCAGGCTGGTCTCAAACTCAGAGATCCGCCTGCCTCTGCCTCCAGAATACTGGAATTAAAGGCGTGCGCCACCACTGCCCAGCCAGTTATGGAAATGCGTAATCAAATTATCAACATCCCATGAAACTTAGGGTATCCTATGGCATACACTTTGGTAATTGATAAAAATAGACAGTAATGATGGTGACTGATCGTAATAGCCATTTATTAAGTGTAACAGCCATTTATTAAGTAATACTACCATTCTAGCCTAGCATTTACGTATATTAAATTCATTTCCTATTTGCAGAAACACTATGAAACATGTCCTGCTACTCACTTCATTAACAGATACACGAAAAAATGAGGGACAAAGAGGATAAACTATTTGCCTTAAGTCATGTACTTAGTAAGTACTCCAGGCTAGGAGTTTATCAAGTACAGAGATGAGGTATCAATCCAGTGCTGTGCACCCTCCTCCTGGCGCATACTATGCCCCCTGAAAATGGCACTTGAATAGAATTGGAGGTGAGTATAATAAAAACAAGTTATAATAGACGGGCTGCTCTTTCACAAGACTCAGGTTTCATTCCCAGTACTCACATGGTGGATGTGACTCCCTCTTCGGGGTTCTGTGGGCACTGGGAACAGGCACATGTTGTGCCCGTACATACACCTAGGCAAAGCATCCACACACATAAAAATGAAGTAATTTAAAAAAAAATTGAAGTGACTAAAGCGTATTGATTAGACCGTTTAAGAGCATCCGATGATATTTACACAATCGGAGTGTTTTCTCGTCAGATTTTGTGTTTGCGCCAGAGAAAAGTCACAATGCAATATTCCTGCTATGAACCATTTTCTACTGTGTCTCCACTTTCATATTGGGCTTTTATGTGCCAGTTTAAGGTTAATGTGAAGATTATAGAAAAATATCAGATAGTGCGCCGCTATTTAGCCACAACAAAAAAAATCTTTCATTTCAAAGTGCATTAAATAGGTCTTTCGGTGAAATACCAAATACATGGAAAGAGACAACATCACATCCATAAGGAACCACTGATTGCCCTTGTTGGTAAAGTGGATGGTTTTTCCTTAATGCAGCATAATAACAGCCATTGGAAAGGGTCAATAGGAGCTTTTTAAATGTTTCAGACCTTAAAATACACCAAGGTCAAATTTAGTAAATAAAATGCTGGTGAATTTTCAGCAGAGATTGGTGTGAGCCAGAGGGCACTAAGGAAGAAAAATCAATACACTTTCAGGCTTAAAAGGAAGGGATGAGAAAGCAGCTTGATAGTGTTTTGAAAAATAAAAAGGAAAATTTCTGTTTGGCACTTCAAGAGCTTGCAGTGCAGTGATCAAAACTCTGATACCAACTCCCCTTGCGATCATAAATAGAGTAGGGGCTGTTCCCAATGACAGATGACTATGATACTTTTGGGGGTCTCGTTTGTTAATTCCTAAACAGAACTACTATTAGCTCCATTTCACAGGTTGGCAATGGAGGTCCAGAGGGGTAAAAGGGCAGAAAGCCCTTGTCTGTGTTTCTGCACCAGCACAGGACGGATTCGGGACTGCGGGCTGTTTCAGAGTCCACGCTGCAATTTGAATACCATGTAAAAGACAAGATTCAAAGGCTCAAGGTTCACAGGTCCAGGCAATAAAGCGGCGCCCACTGACATTGTCAGCATACATGAAAAACTCACTAGACAGAGCTACCAGAATGTTGGATGTCAACAAGTGGAAGGCAATCCTTACCACACGCGCAGGCCCCTCCTTGAGCTTGCTCAGTGACAGGTTTCCAGACACTGGGATGCATCCTGCCACTCAAGAACTCCATCAGTTTAGGGGGATGCATTAGGCATGACCAGTGACGCTCTCTCTCCCCAACTCCCTTCACCACTGCTGTGTACTAGGATTTCTCAAACCTTCAACGACCTGTTCTCAGCCTGGCCAAACGTTCACAGCTCCTTCAAAGCTCAGTCAGTCATTCGTGATTGTGTTTATGCTGTGTTTGGTGCATTAGAATTACAATACTCAGGAGCATTCAGAAAAGTCCAGGAAGGGAAGAGAGGTATCTTCGGAGAAGGCACAGCTCGATTCTGTGCTGACAAAAGGTAAACAGAATTTGACAGTAAAGTATTGTGCCCAGAGTCTCAGGGCGGGAGCTATTTGAAAGTCAAATTCAGAGCCCTCGAAAGAAATAGCAGATTAAGCCTTGAGTGAAAACAAATACTGAAAGTTATTTTCCTATTGTATCTACATTTCCAAATGCCTGCTTCTCTGTGTCCTCTTTGTGGATTGACACTGGAGTCAGTTAAGCAACCAAAGAGTTCGTTGTAATGGCATGAGGAAAATTAATAACATATGAACTTAAACTCACAAGGTTTTGGAAGAACACTTGGCTTTAAAAGGTTATTGTTTAAAGAAAGATTTGTTTTATTTTATCAGTACTGGGAATTGAACTCAGAGCCTTACACATACTATTTGTGTGCTCTACTACCTAGCTAAACCTCCTGCTCCAAAAGATATATTTGAAACAAATGGGTCAAGCATACTGTGACCTATTGTTATAGCTGTAGATCAGTTGATAATAAAAATGAAAATTGGATGCTCTATTCTCTATCAATGAACATATAAAAATCCCATATAGACAAGCATAATATATTTTAATTAACCTGTAATAGCTATATATCCTTATTTTAGTAGTATATTTAAATACATGCATACCAGATATACTGGTCAAATCAGATTAAGTAGTGTTTTCTATGCATTGTTATTTTGGAGTCTTCTGGGGTCTCTCTCTGGTTCTGCATAAAGGATAGAATAAGATATTGTGAAGCTAGTACTTTTTGCAGAATGTAATTCTCATTTATAAACTCAGATTGTCTTACAATCCAGAGCAATCAAAAGTAGCTCCAGTTCTTAGTTACACCTTATCAGTCTTACAGCCCTTTGTCAATTCTGCCCCCTAAGTCTTATAAAGGGGGATTTCCTTTTCTTCTTAAAGTTAATAATCAGTTAGAGATGAACAGTCGCAGTTGGTGTGACTTGTTAAGGAATCCGACCAGAAACCACAAAGGTGATGGTAAAACATAAATATACCTACTTACCTGGATGGCTCTGACGTTGGAAACTGGCTGTTTCGACATATTCACAAGATCTTATCCCTAAAAAAAAAAAAATAAGACACTGTTAGAGGTGGCAGCCTTCAGATTCAAGGTCTTGATAAATTAGAGTTTTAACTCATGATTCAACTGAGCAGTTGCCCCTTTCACTGGCCGTATATTCTTTCAGTCTCAGTTTCTGCAGTTACTTGGAGACTCTCCTTCCCAATGCCTCAGGGAGAGGGAACACTAGCGCACCTTGATAAATCATTCAGAAGGAGATAAACTGAGATGCCTTGCCCCTGATGCAAATGATAGGTGGTCAGAAACTTGAAAGGCCCTATCATCTCTTTCCCTGCCCTCTTGACCTTCTGCCAAGAACAGCAAACCGAAGAGGTGGTGGGAATAAAACACCTTTGTTTGGCCTCAGAGACTCTCAGCTTGAAACTGAACTTTTGATCTGTATTCATTGTCGCCAGGGCACCAGGAGTGGCTATTCTCAGTAGACGACCCAAAGATGTCTCCACTTCCAAATGCCATCTCTCGGCTCTATGAATGTCTCTTCTCTGTCTCTTCTCCTGGAGACTCTCTGAAGAATTGAGTTGTTTAATCCTCACAGGTATCCATCCTAACATCCCCAGCAAGCCTAGGTTCTAGAAATTAGAATGTTCTAGAGCTATCTTCTTTCAGTACAACTATCTTAGAAGGCAAGTAGATTTATGACTACATATTGGACCTCACAAATGTAGAAGTGCTTTCTTCCCCATATTTCTTTCTCTTTCTTTCTTTCTTTCTTCCTTTCTTTCTTTCTTTCTTTCTTTCTTGTTCTTTTTCTTTTTTCTAGATATGTTTTTTCTGTGTAATAGCCCTAGCTATCCTGCCTAGCTATCCTGGAACTTGCTCTGTAGACCAGGCTGGCCTCAAACTTACAGAAATCCACCTGCCTCTGCCTCCTGAGTGCTAGGTTTAAAGGTGTGTGCGACCACCACCCTGCATTCCCCAACTTTCTTTAAACACGTGAGACCTAACTTTGAGCACTGGAACCAAAGCCCGTCGAGGGATGTAGGCTATGCTTTGCTGGAGCCAAAAGAACAAAGAATAACAATGAACCCAGCTCTGGCCTGTTTTTATAACTGTCTGTTAAACATCAACTAGACCAAGTAAAAAGTTAAAAACTCATTGAATTAAAAACATTCTCTGTTCCAAACCTTAAGTGAATTAACTGAACTCTATCTGCTGGGAGCTCTGTGTATGTATGTGTTAACACAGGGCTGAATGAACACAGGAAGCAGTATTATCATTTCACACAAGTCACGTGAAGCTTAGACAATGTCATTCAATATTTCTAGACGTATTTCTTCTTCCTTAAAATGGCCCTCCTTCGCAGCTTATGGGAAGATTTGAGAGCCGCAATGCCTCTAAGTAAGGCTCCCTGAACTCTGAAGCATGGTGTGACTGTTCATTGCACTGCTGCCAATGGCCACAGCTGATGACTTCTGGGTGTTACGCTTGTCTGCAGCCTTAGGTATAGTGAAGAAGCAAAGGATGCTCTTCAACACAGAAATGAATGACCAGAGAACTTTGGCAAAAATGCAGGTGTTTTTATTTTAGATCTTAGGTTCTAGTCTATGAAGATAAAAAAATGTATTTTTATTTTTAAAATATCTACAATTATTGTATGTCAATATATAGTTTTGGGAGATATGCTCATGAACATACAGCACTTTTACAACAGTACTTTTAAAGTTTCATCTAAATGTTTTGCTAGGATATAGGTATTTTTTACACAATAAGGGTCCAGGAAAAACCAATTTTAATAAAGTTAAAAATTAAGTAAGAACAACAGATTGAACAATCAAGGATAGTATTCTCTATGATCAGTTTTAAGTTGGCTACTACCTTCCGTTGAGCATCAAAGAGACATGAAGAACATTCTAATTTGTCGCTCATTCTAGGGTACACCGCTCTAACCCAAAATGATATGCTTAGAATAGCTGTATTTTTAATGTTCCCTCTTGGCTAAAAGTTGAGAAAAATAATGCAAAAATAATAATTATTCTAAGACTTTAAGGGCCTGACCAGTGGTCACCATGTGTACAACACAATTAGACTTGAATTAACATATTTTTGAGACAGGGTTTTACTGTGTAGCCTTGGCTGTCCTATAACTCACTCTGTAGACCAGGCTGGCCTCGAACTCACAGAGGTCTGCTCGCCTCTGCCTCCCAAGAGCTGGGATTAAAGACATACACCACCACCTGGCAACGTTGTTTTGTTGTTTTGTTTAAGTTACTGTATATTCGTTTTAAACATGAGGATTAGGAAATGCCCTTATGTGATTACAGTATTAAGTTGAAATGCAAAGGCAGTAAACAATGAGGGATTTTACTTCAACTACATTGATTTTTGTCTGTGACTTATTTTTTCACCGACAATTTGCACTAACTACTGGATTGCAATATTTCCTGGGACGCTCGGAGTCTAACAGATGCACGAACCTTGTCTCCCCTATCCAGCTTTGTTATATTTTCATTTGTGTGTGCATCTCTTCTTAATATCTTTGTCCATCTTCGGTAGAGACATCTATAGAAAGTCAGCTTGCTTCTTGCTCTCATTTCTCACCATCAGGCTAGAGAATATTTGTATAAATCAGTTCAGCAGCAGCTCCTGCTGTCCTCATTATTTGCAGTGAAACCAGGGCAAAGCAGAGGGATGAATAAAAATAGACAGTGTTCCCTGGCTGTTTCCCTGGTCGAGCATTCACCTCCATCAGGATGTGGAGTGGAGTGCACCTTCCCTCGACATCCGCATGCTTCTTGCACGGATGGGAATGGCAAGGGATGCTCTCTAAACTCAGCCCATCACCACCCACTTCAGGGCCAGTGCTTTTTATCCAAATAGGTCCTCTTTACAACATGCACTTGCTATGTCTATCTCCCGGATCTGGCTAAAATTTGAAACACTGCGAGTTTGACAAGACATATATTGACTTTAATAAGCTGGTGAGGTTTGCCAACTGGACACAGGTAAGTTTCCCTGACAGTCTGTGGGAACTTTTAGTGGTCTGTTTGCTGAGTCATGGATGCTAGACCCCCTGTTTGCTTTTGATTGGGCAGCACCTAATATCTAGCTTCTAAATAAAACCCTTCAACTTTTTAAAACTGGTGAACATTAATATCACTAATTTCACAAGAAGAGATTAAGGGGAAAATCAATCGCTGTTTGGAAAGAAGAGCTGTGTGTGTTCTTTTGAAAGGTCAGGGAAATGAGTAAAGCTCTATCTCAAAGGGATTTATCTTCTATCCTGAAGCTAAAAATAATTCCCAAGGAGGGGGAAGAACGATGCTCTGACCACTTCACTATGCTGGGAGGGAATAGAGAGTCGGCAGTTCCGTACCTTGGAATCTGGTGCCCACGGAGATAAGGACACTGAGTGCTGCCCTCTACCCTGCTGGGTACAGGGAAACAGTGACCAAAGCAAAGCTCTCGAAAGGATGATCCTGTCTACACAAGCTTGTTGTTGAGACCAAGCCCGGCACTTAAGGAAAAGAGAAAAGGATTCTAAACTTGCTCCGTCTAACACTTTCACAGTGGTTCTCACTTGACAAACAAACACACAAAAAGCTAACGTTCCAGCTTTCCTCTGTCCACAGTTCCGATTAACTCTCGGAGCCTGTTAGCAGTCTGCAGCTGACTGTAACACTACCCAGCAAAGCCTCAAGGTCACAGTTATCATATTTGGATTGTGGACATTTTCTTAATATGCCTGTCAATGAAAAACCCTTTAGTTCAATACACACGCGCACGCTTGCACACACACACACACACACACACACACACACAGATACACACACACACACATTTACTTTATAGAATCAGGGTGACCCCCAGTGAGCGGGCAATTGACAAAGAAGCTACACCCAGTACTTAGCAAACTACCAAGTTAGGAGTAGTCACCTTGAAGTGAGTGATTGAAGAAATTTCCTCTAGAAAGCTGAGAGCCGAAGCTGGGTCCTTCTGCTTACCTGCTCTCTGGATTTGTTTACTGCCTAAGGACAGTCCCAGGCAGCCAGGTGCAAAAACACAAAGCTCTTTAGAGGGTAGAAGGGACTCCCGGTGTCGTCTGAGCTGCGATCTCAATTCCAGTGCGTTTCAGGTGGCTGGAATAGCTGGAGTGCTCTGTGGCTCTCCGATCCTGAGAGCCGCTCCTGGCTTGGGGCTAGAGGGGAGCTCGGTTTAAGGCTAAGTGTTAAAGAGAATTCCTGTCATAGCTCACAGTTGTTCTTCCTAAATATAGAGTTTGATACAAGCCATAGGCTGGCTGCCTCCGAAAGGCTTGACCGTGTAGAAAGCAGAGCTCAGATATCAGCCTGGAGGTGGCTGCGTTATCTTACTGCCCTCCTAATCTTCCTGAGGAGGCTGGCTGCATTCTCTCACATTTTTTGAGGGGTGTAACAAACTTCAAAACGTAGGAGAAGGCTATCTTTAGCTGTATTATCTAGAGGCCAGAAAATGAGAAAAAGGGTTCATTAAAAACTGGGGGAAGCAGGGGTGCTGATATCAAACATTGCTTGAATCCAAGTTTGGTCGCTTGGGAGCTGTTAAAGTTATTTAATAATCAGCACTCAGTAAGCAGTCACCAAATAATAGAATTATACCATTACATCAAACTATAGGACACTGTCCTAGCTTGTAGGTCGAACATGGTTAAAAATGGATGGCCTGGCATGGTTGCCAGGCTCAGAGTCCTTGCTAACTTGGCTCTACTGCTCTTATTGATGCATTGACCTTAGCTCTTGGCACACAGAAGAGAACAAAAAGAAGGGAAATGTCTACTTTTAGGTTTGGCAAGGGCCAAGATTAGGAACCTAGAGGAACATTTTTCAAATCCGAAGCTCACGGTCAGTTTTGAACATGGCTTTGTTGTTGAACTTCTTCAGTGCCTGAAACTAAACTCATATAACTCACACCTTTAATCCCAGAACTCAAGAGGCAGAGGCAGACGTATCACTGTGAGTTCAAGCTCAGTCTAGTCTGCGTAGTGAGTTCCAAGCAGCCAGGGTTATGAAAAGAGATCCTGCCTCAAAAAACAAAACAAAATAAAATAAAATAAAATCCAACAACAACAAAAACCCAAAACAAACAAAAAAGCCTCCAAAACAAAATAAAACCCAAAACAACTTCCCTTTGGTAGAAATACTCAACTGCGTAGATAGACATAGACCTCAGCCCCTGGGTGAATCCACTTGGGACCACTGAGACAGGACATTCTCAGCAGCAGCAGCAGCAGCAAGAACAACAGCAACCATTCTTGCTGTGTGAGGAAGAGAAGCTGTAAATGTTCTGAGTCAACCATCCCCTCCTGGCCAGGGGTGAAATCACCAAGCACGGTGGGCATCAACAGGGTCCAAACTTGTGGAGCGGAGAGTAGTTGTCACCTGACCATCAGTCCCAGCTGGGGCCTCTCAGAAGCATGAAGAAGACAAGCACCTTACTTGACCTCATACCACGACCCTTAAAATTCCCAGTCCTCCTGTTAGCTCAAGGCTCCCGTTAAAGTCTGCAGCTGCTGTGCAAGAAGTCACTGGCACACGTGAGCACCCACTGGGTTGATGAGTGACAGATAAGGAGAGGGTGCGAGGAGACAGGGAACGAGATCAATCTGTTTCTGACGGGGGCAGTTAAGATGAGGACTAGGTAAATAAGACAATGGGTCTCGTTCAAAGTGTGGTAAATGCGAAGCCAGAGGGCACTGGACATTGAAGGGAAAGTGTAAGACTTTCAGTAAAAATTACTTAAGAGGAGCAGGGAACAGCGTTGTTCACAAAAAATACAGTTCGCCAAGGTCCTTTTTACCCGTATACATTCACCTCTCGCACCCCAACACACACACATTACAGTTCAGGAGTTGCAGGCTATCTAACAACATAATACACGCTCAAATCCCTTGTTCAACTAAAAGTGCTTTCACCGGAATCCTTTTATTGAGTCCTTTCAACACTTTTGTGAGTTTAGTGACATTGTGCTTATTGTAGGAAAAAGGCAGATGATGACGCATTCTACTGACTCAGTCAGTTCTTCCTAGCTTTTAGTTTTTAGACAAGGTCTCAGGCAGATCTGACTGGCCTGTAACTCACTAAGTAGACCATGTGGAGCTCAAAGACATTGAAATCTGCCTGCCTCTGCCTCCCAAGTGCTGGAATTAATGATGTGTTCTTCACCTTTGGCCTATTCCTAACTTTCAACTCTCAAATTCCTTCCTGGTATACAAAAACACCTCAAGGAAGCATGCTCACGTGTGCACCTCCACATAGGTGCGTGTAAGCACAGCACCTGATTAGGAAGCATCCTTGACCACTAGTGAAGAGATGAAATTCTGGGCTTGTACAGAAATTCTATTATGTCAAAAGACCCAGGCTCTTTCAAGTTCAGTTACCTTGCCATTCTGAACAAGTCAATATTTTATCAGCAAGGTCTCAATGTGACAGCCATAGCTCCAAGAATCAGGATCTGTCATGTACATCCAAACAAGGAGGAGGAGCTGTGGCTGCAGAAAAGGAGGAGGAGCCATGGTTATAGAAAGGGAGGCGTTTATCCTCCCACAAAAGAAAATGCTTTCTCAATTCTCCAAGCCAACTTACCCTTACATATTTAAAACAAGCAAACAAAATGAGAATGGGTGCAATACTTGCAAAGGAGATAGATAGATAGATAGATAGATAGATAGATAGATAGATAGATGATAGATAGATGGATGGATGGATAGATTGATTGATAGATAGATAATAAATAAATGGTAAAGGTGAATGAAGTAGAAATGATAACAAAAATCAAACATCCTACAAACTGGCATGCCCTTAGCAATGAAGAGAGAGAATGCTCGTGATGTAGATAAGGTACGCACACATATAAAAGGCTTCATATAAGTGTACTTTCCTACACATGACCTCGTGCAATATGCACCACCTTACAAAACAAATCTATACTTTTTAAGGGGCAACATATTTTTAAAATAAATATGAAGGGGAAAAAGTCAGAGTAAAAACTCTAGAATCACACTTCACAGAATATACAAACATGAATCACACGTAACTTAAAGACATAGGTTTTTTTGCTGTAGTTGTTGCTGTTTTGTTTTGTTTGAAGATGTATTTTATTGTCTAATCGCGTGTGTGCACCCACATGCCTATGGAAACCAGAAGAAGGTGTCAGATTACCTAGCGCTGGAATTACAGATAGTTGTGAGCTGCCTACCATGGGAACCATGATCCCAAGTCAGGTCCTTTGCAAGAGATGTATGAGCTCTTAACTGCTAGGCCCCTCTCCAGTCCCAATGCATAGTTTTAATTCTAATAATAATATAAGGAATATTGAAATATGGAGCAGCTTTTAAAGTATACTATTAGCACCAAAAAAGGGTCCATAGAATAAATACTGATACCCTTTCCAAATAAAAATTTAAAGGACCTGTGTAAAGTAATAAGTACATTTTCTGTGTGCACATTTGTCATAGTATTAACCTGTTTATATAAAGCATGCTTTCTAATCAAGAGGGAAAGCAACGCTAAACTTGGATATGGACCACAAAGGATTGGAAAGATGGCTAAGAGTTTAAGAGTTCATACCACTCTTGCAAAGGATCCACGTTTGGATCCTAGCAATCATGTGAGCAGCTTACAAGAGTCTTTAACTCTAGTTCCGGATCCAGTGCCCTCTTCTGGTCTTTATGAGTACTGCACTTGTGTGCGCAAATCTCTCCTCCCTCCCTCCCTCCCTCTCTCCCTCTCTGTCTCTCTCTCTCTATCTCTCTATCTCTATCTCTCTCTCTCTCTTTCTCAGACACACACACACACACACACACACACTTAAAAATAAACCTTCAAAAGGAAGATATACAAATATCTAAGTATCCAGAGCCAGCAAGATAGGTCAGTGGGTAAAATAACTTGCTGTCAAGCCTAATGACCTGAGTTTGGTCCTTGAGACTCACATGACAGCAGGAAAGAATCAACCCCACAAATACGTCATCTAACCTCCACATGTCCCCCACCCACAAATAAATAAATAAATGTAATAAAAATGTTTAAAGAATCAATTTTCCAAAGTATATAATAATTTAATTTCAGGATTCCGCACATGTATAAAATGCTATATATTTATCTCCATTTTGTAAATGACAGAATGCATCGAAAAAGTTCAGGTCACATTCCTAGAGTGTAGCTGAGTCAAAACACAAATGAAATTATAATATTCATCAAAAACTCATGGATGATTTGGAAAAATGGTAGAGTATCAAATGCCAAGGTCGACAGGAAGTGGAAACTGGATCTTGTCAGGGACACTGTGAGCCAATCTACTTCTTTCCTTAGCTCCTGGTTCTGTTCAGTGGCTGTGTGTCATCTCTCTCCTTAGATCTTAGCTTCATTCCACAAGCACCCACAAAGAGAAAACCTTTCTTTTAGAAAGAAGCCATGTGTAGAATTGGAACTCTACTCAGAAGCAAAATACTTTTCATGTAGTTTTGCACAGAACTTGAGCATCTCCTTCCTCCAAACCCTATTTGCAAAAAGAATGTTTTCTTTATCCTTGTAGAATTTGACAACTTGCTTCCCCAAAATATTCTTCTTCTGTAATAAATGAGTATTCTACTTCAGAAGGGGATTCAGATTTTCATCTCCAAAAATACACTACCTTGCCTTCTGTCCTTAAAGAAATGACTGACAACCAATTCTCAGTTGTCCTGTGTTTTTGACTAAGTCATCTTTTAAATTTTTATTAATTTTGTGTATATATGTATGTAGGTGTATGCAAGGACACATGCCACAGAGTTCATGTGGAAGACAGAGAACATCTCTCAGGAGTTGGGTCTCCACCTCCCTTGCGGAATTCAGGGATAGGATACAAGCCATCAGGTCTCCACACAAGCACTGAGCTACCTTCCTAGCTCCAAGTCACCTTTTAACAGAAGAATAACTTCATTCATTCATCGCTTGTATTAATGTTGTCTTTCGTGATCCAGGAACTGTTCTAGAAGTTGAGAACTTAGAAATAAGCAAGATACGTTTCTATGAACCTGTTCACTAGTCTTATAGAGAAGACAATTAACAACCTAGTTGTAGGTTTTGTGTGCTATGGGAAAACTGACCATACAAACTGCTATAGAGTTCACAGGAAAGTTCCCTGATGCTCACACCCAAAGGATAAGGGCTTTACAAGGGGGGAAAGTTCCAGCTGAATATCCTGAATGTCTCCCAAGTGTCACTATTCTTCCTTCCCCACTCTTGGGGCGGAGGACAAGGTACAAGACTGAACAGCTTGCTC